GAGGAGGAGGAGGAGGAGGAGGAGGAGGGTGGTGAGAAGCAACATGAGGAATACGTGCATTTTGCCCCGCGGGAGCGGCCATGGGTTTGGGGCTGCACAGCGTCGAGCTGAAGGCGGCGGCGGCGGCCCGGGCGGCGTCTTGGCATCTCTGTCTCCTGCACTGCCTGCGCAGGCTCGGGCTACGTAGACGGGGCGGGCTCGCGGGTCAGCGTCAGCCCATGGGCGCGGAGGTGCCTCCTGGATGCGACGAGGATGCTCCAGATGGCCCTGGAGGACGGGACCGCCCATGTGGGCGACGAGGGTCTCCCGGTCTCGCAGCACTCTCTGGCTTCGGCCCCTCTTGCTGCGGCCGCGCGCATCGTTGCCAACGAGGCGAGCTTCGACCCACGGGCAACATTGGCCCTCCACAACGCTGGGGGCCCCGGGGCGAGCGTCTGGCTGGGGCCACCCTCCCGGCCCGAGTAACGCCTCTCGGACGCGCAGTTCGGCGTCGCGCTGGGCATGCGCCTGGGCGAGAACCTGCCCTGCTGCACGGGAGTGTGCCAGCACGGGCACCCCGACGGGAGCGTGTGCGGAAGTGTGCTGGGCCCGAAGGGGCAGCATGCGTGGTCCTGCGCGGTGGGCTGGTGACTGATCCGCCGCCACGACGCCAGCTGTACTGTGTTAGCTGCGTGCGGCGACGAGAAGGGCTGCGCTGTCCACAGGGAGATTGTGCTGCCGCATGCGGCAGCCAACCAGCCCGAAGCGCGTATGGACCTTATCATCCACGCCCCCAGGTGGCGGGCGTAGCCCATCAGGGTTAAATCGCCGTCGCCAGGGCTCCGTCCAAGGACGCGCTCGAGCGCGGGTCAGCCCGGCGCGCTGGGGTCGCAGCCGTGGCGGCGGATAACGACAAGCGGACGCGCTACCCTGGACTGCGGACAGTGCCGTTCGCGGTCGAGGGCTACGGCCGCATTCGCAAAAACGCTCTGGCACTGGTGCGCCTGCTGGCCCCGCGCTTGGACACAGAGCAGTCGGCGGCCATCCGCCAGCTTCAGCAGGCGCTGAGCAGCGTGCTCCAGCGCCACGCCGCGGACGCCGTGCTGGCGGCCACGTGCCACAATATCTGGCGGGCCCCCCAGGCCGGGTGCTGAGGGCTCCGGTCCTGCTGACGCGGGCGGGCGCTGTGCTGGGCTGATGGGCTTGGCCGCCCGGGCTGGGGCGGGGCCCCGGTGCGGGACTGGCGGGGGCGCCAGCTGGCGTGGCGCTGCTGCTGCTGCTGCTGCTGCTGCTGCTGCTGCTGCTGCTGCTGCTGCTGCTGCTGCTGCTGCTGCTACTTCCGCCGCGGGGGGCGGCGCTGGGGGGGTGCGGCGGCGCCCTTCGGAGGCAGCCCGGGGGAGGCGCGCTACTGGGCGCACGCGGACGATGTTTGATCACCGCACCGAGCCTCGAAATTTCAAGGGGCCCCCTGGCATCGCCGAGTGTCAACTGCGTCGACGCGCCCACTTGTGAGCCCAATGAAGAAGCGCACGCCTCCCACTCCTCAGAAGGGCCGACGAGAAGACTCGATGGCCAATTCTAAGGCCGCCGATGAAAACCTACATGTGGTGAGGCCTCTCAGAGAAATCCTTCTGACCCTTCGCCCGCAGAACCGCCGGGCCCTGCCAGGACTTCCAAGGGCGCGGACGCGGGCGCAATTCAGTCCACAAGCCCTACACCACTATCATGCGCAAGTCGGCCATCATAAAAATGCACCAGGGAGGTGGCCACAGCATGGTGCATGTAGATGGCGGGCTGGCGAGCAGGCCGCTTGGGGACCCGCGGCGCTCGGCTAGCCATTCAATCTGGTCCCCGCCGAAATCTGTGGTACGCGGGGACTACAGGCCCCGGTTGGCGCAACCCCTCCTCTCGGGTGTGGCCGCTGGTTGCTTGCCAGGCGCTCTTGCCTGGCGTCAGCTAGCGGTGGCCCTTGGGGGGCCGGTGCCTGGCGCTGGGGGTTTTCGCTGGAACGCGACCAACGTGCGCGCGGACTGCGGCCCCCCCGCCGCCAGAGGAAGACAGGGAAGAGGAGGAGGAGGAGGAGGAGGAGGAGGAGGAGGAGGAGGATGAGGAGTAGGCTGATGATGATGATGATGATGATGATGATGATGATGATGATGCTGCTGCTGCTGACGGTGATGATGATGATGATGATGATGATGATGATGATGATGATGATGATGCTGGTGATGGCGATGATGGTGGTGGTGATGATGGTGATGGTGGTGATTCTGAGGATGGTGATGCCGGCGATGAGATGATGGTGATGATGATGACGATGGTGTTCATCATGATGATGGCGATGATGGTGGTGGTGATGGTCATGATGATGGTCGTGGTTGTGGTGCTGATGATGCTTCGGCTGATAATGGTGGCGATGATGATAGTGGTGATGCTGATGATGCTGCTGACTATGATGGTGATGATGGTGGTGATGATGATAATGATGTGGTGGTGGATGATGATGATGATGATGATGATG